CATTAACAATGCTTGTTGTATTACATATTGATATCTTCAAAGTGGTTTCTCATGAAAACAGATAGAGACATGCAATATTGATCAATCAAGGACTCATTAACAGTTTCTTTCAGCAAAGAAATAGAAGACAGTACATCAACTATGTTAACTATCCTGTATATACATACATACAAAATTTCTCCTTCTTTCCCTTTTCTTTTCCCACATCCTAGTTGCCCTTTACCCTTGAGTGTTTACCTATAGTTTCACAATGTCTACCATACAACCAAGTTTTTATTAACTCTTTCAGGTTTTACACTAATGAGACAATGTGGTGCTTGCACATGCAGGTCTGATTTATTTCACTTATGAGTATGATCTCTAGTTGTGACCATTTACCTATAAAAGCCTCGAGTTTATCTTTCTTTATAGCTTATTTTTAATTTTGGTTTTACTTTAATTTGGGTGAAGTGTTGAGAATTGAAGTATCTGAAGGGCGGCATAATTGGGGCTGGGGTGTGTCTCAGCAGTAGAGTGCTTGTGCAAGGCCCTGGATTCAATTCCCAGCACAACAAGAACAAAACAAACAAAAAACAAACAGACACAAACAAACAAGAGTATAGTTTTATTAGGAACTAATAAGCAGGGACAATTGCAAAGGGAATAAGAAGAATTAAAAAATATGAAGCTCCTATTTTGTTCCATGTTATACCTTCTAATCTTCATTGCTGTGACCTATTTTTTAGTAATGAAACTTTGGCATGATTGTAATCACATCAAAGTTAAATTTTCTTTTGTGGAGTAGAAAATATCTTATGGGCAACATAAAAGTAATTTAGTTTCATTCCTATTGCCATGTTTAATTTATATAATAAAACTTGCTAACATCGGTAGAGACAATGGACTGTCAAAAGCTGGCATTTCCAGCCCTTCATATGGGCATTGTTTTCCCCCATGAAATTAAGGGAAGTAGGGAAACAATGGCATAATTGTAGTTCAAATATGATTTTTTTTTTTTTTTTTTTTAACTTATTGACAATCACTCTACATGGGCTTCCACACACACTGAGGAACATAACTCTGAGCAGATGGTTGTTTGTGCTCGGCCCTGTGGTGGATTCTGAGTATGTAAAGCACATTAGAAATAAGGATAGCATGACTGGCTGCTCTGAAAAGCCATCTTTGCATTGTTCCTGGACCGGCTCCCCGCTCGCTGCAGCCACCTCCGCCGCGGACTCTGGCAGCTGTCTCGCTAGAGTCCCCGAACTCTCGCTTTCTTTTTCACCCGCTGCACCGGACCACCAGCGTGCCCCACCATGTCAGACGCGGCCGTGGACACCAGCTCCGAGATCACCACCAAGGACCTGAAGGAGAAGAAGGAGGTAGTGGAGGAGGCGGAGAACGGCAGAGACGCCCCCGCCAACGGCAAAGCTAAGGAGGAGAATGGCGAGCAGGAGGCCGACAACGAGGTAGACGAGGAGGAGGAGGAGGAGGAGGAGGAAGGCGATGGTGAGGAGGAGGACAGGGACGAGGACGAGGAGGCCGAGGCAACTACAGGCAAGCGGGCGGCGGAGGACGACGAGGTAGGTCGGGGCGCGGCGCGGGGGCCAGGGCCGGGGGGCAGAGGGCGCGGGCGGCCGGTGACACGCGCGCCTCTGCCCTCCCAGGACGACGACGTGGACACCAAGAAGCAGAAGACCAATGAGGATGACTAGACAGCAGAAAAGTAAAAGTTAAACTAAAAAAGGCCGCCGTGACCTGTTCACCCTCCACTTCCTGTCTCAGAATCTAAACGTGGTCACCTTCGAGTAGAGAGGCGCCCGCTGCCGCGGCAGCGCCACCGACACTGCTCTCCACGCCCCACGAAACCACACGCGAATTTGCAACAGGGAGGAAAAACCAAAACTTCCAAGGCCCTGCTTTTTTTCTTAAAAGCACTCTAAAAAGGAAAATTTGTTTGTATTTTTTATTTACATTTTATATTTTTGTACATATTATTAGGGGTCAGCCAGTTTTGATGATCGCGGATGACCAAACCAGCCTTCCGAAGCTTTCTGACCTACTTCCGACTTTACTTGTGGTGTGACCATGTTCATTATAAACTCAGAGGAGAAAAAAAACCTTGTAAAAAAAGCAAAAACAACAACAACAAAAAATCTTATTCCGAGCATTCCAGTAACTTTTTTTGTGTATGTATTTAGCTGTACTATAAGTAGTTGGTTTGTATGAGATGGTTAAAAAGGCCAAAGATAAAAGGTTTCTTTTTTTCCTTTTTTTGTCTACGAAGTTGCTGTTTATTTTTTTTGGCCTGTTTGATGTATGTGTGAAACAATGTTGTCCAACAATAAACCGGAATTTTATTTTGCTGAGTTGTTCTAAAAAAAAAAAATAAGGATAGCACATACATCTATAGGCCCAAATGAATATACATTGTCTTATCAGTAGCCTGCTGACCTAAAGAATAGGCACTGTTGATTCCAAATGTAATAATACATGTCACTTGTGAAGAATGTATGTTCTATTGTTGGGTAAAATGTGTTTTAGGGATGATTGGTTTATAGTGTTGCCCACGTTTTCACTTTCCTTACTGATCTTTTGTTTAGATGTTCTACCCACTACTGAAAGTGGGGTGGAATCTCTTCCACTGCAGAACTGTTTATCCCTTTAGTATTCATTTCATATATTTTGGCCTTCCATTGTTCAGTGCTTCTAATTGTTATATCTCAGTAATTAGTGGGCTCTTTCATCAATGTATAATATTTCTTTTTCTCTAAATTCCTTTTTGAGACAGGGTCTCTCTATGTATATAGTTCGGGCTGGCCTTGAACTCACTATGTACCCCAGGCTGACCTCAAAATCATAGCAATCCTCCTGCCTCTGCCTGTGAATTGCTAGGATTACATATGTGCACCACCACACTCAACTATCATATTTTTTACTTAAATCTGTTTTGTATGATGTTAGTACTGTAACTACTCCAGCTCTTTTGGCTAGTATTTGCTTTTTTTATTATTTCACTGTCAACATTTGTTGAAAGATTCTCTCTTAGTTCTAAAGTCATTCTGTAAGCAGCATATGGATTATATCTTTGTTTTGTTTTGTTTTTGTCTTTTTGAGATGGGGTCTCACTATGCAGTTTAGGCTTGCCTTGAGCTCACTTTGTAGCCCAGGCTGGCCTTGAACTCACAACAATCCTCCTGGCTCAGCCTCCCAAGTGCTAGGATTACAGGCATGCATCATCATGCCCAGCTGGATCATGTCTTTAAAATCCTTCTGCCATTATGAATTTTTATTTTATTCTTTCCTAGAAAAATAAGCAAATAAAAATTACAGGAAAAAATCCTTCTGCCAGTGTCTGCCTTTTAATTGGTGAATTTCATCCATTTACATTTAAAGTAGTAGTGGTAATGAAGAACTTATTTCTGCCATCTCTCTCTCTCTCTCTCTCTCTCTCTCTCTCTCTCTCTCTCTCTCTCTCTCTCTCTCTTTCTCTCTCTCTGTCTCTTTCTCTCTTTCTTTCTTTATTTTGAGATAGGGTGTCACTGCAGTTCAGGCAGACCTTGAACTCACCATGTAGCCCAGGCTGGTCTTGAACTCACAGCAATCCTCCTACCTCAGCCTCCCAAGTGCTGGGATTACAGGCATGAGCAACTATGCCCAGACATTTTGTTATTTTCTACATTTCTTTTCTGGTGTTGTTGTTCATTAATACTTTCAATATTGCCTCCTTTGCATTTGAGTGATTATAATTTCTCATAATTTCCCTTTCTGTGTGTTGTAAGTTATTTTTCTAGAAGTTACTATAGGGGTTAGAATTAAATTCTAAATTAATAAATTAAAATTAAATGCCAATCTAGTTTTGATACAGATTTTGCTTTAATAGCATATATTAACTCTGATCTTACCTAACTTTATTCCCCCTTTATATTGTTGTTAGTAATTATTTTATATGTGTGTGCTCATCAGCATAGCTTTATAAATATTATTTTATGCATTTTTCTCATAAATTGCATAGGAAATGCACATCAGAGTTATAACCTAACTCTACAATAATACTAGTTTTTTAGTTATATCAGAATTCTTTATTTCTTTGTATAGAATTAAGTTATTATCTAGGTTTCTTTAATTTTATCCTGTATTCCTTTTAGCATTTTTTATATGTCTACTAGTGATAAATTCTGTTATCTTTTATTTGCCAGTGTCTTAACTTCTTCATTATTAAAGACTAGTTTTACTACATATAAAATTCCTACATGAATCTGGATGTGGTGGCACACACCTGTAACTCTAGCAACTTGGGAGGCTGAAGCAAGAGAATGGCAAGTTCAAGGCCAGCTTGGGCTACAAAGTGAGACCCTGTCTCAAAATAAAAAAAAATTTAAAAAGGTTGGAGATGGTGCTCAGTGGTTGCGTGCCTCTGAGTTTTACCCCCAGTACTGTAGAAAAATATTACTTGACAATACTCTCAGTAATTTAAATGTGTCATCCTATTGCCTTCTGGCCTTCATGGCTCTGATGAGAAAATATCTGTTAATCTTATTAAGAATCCCTTGTATGTTACAAATTGCTTCTCTCACCATTTTCAAGAGTTTATCTTTGGCTTTTGATAGTGTGGTTATAATGTGTCTCATTTTTGGGTCTCTGAGTTTATCTTGCTTGGAGTGTATAGAGGTCCTTGAATGTGTATACTCATATAGTCACATTTGGGAAGGTTCAGCCATCACTTTCTGCCTGCTTCCTCTCTCTTCTTCTGGGACTTTCATGATGTCCATCATGGTGAACTTGATGGTATCTTGTAGGTTCCTTCAATTTTGTTCATTTTTATTTGTTTTTTCTTTCTGGTCTTCAGATTAGGTAATTTCAGTTGCCCTGTATGAAAGTTCATTGATCTTTTCTTTTGTCTCTTTAAATCTGTTGCTGGGGCTTTCTAATGAATATTTTTCAACTGTTGTATTTTTTTACTTTAGAGTTTCTGTATGGTTCCCTTTTATAATTTCTTTCTTTTTATTGATAATCCTTGGAATTCTTGCATAATTCCTCTGATTATCCTTACTTCTTTGCCCATGGCATCTTTAGCACTTTAAATACAATTAACTTATAGTCTCTGTCTACACACTGATCTTGGTTTCATCAGGAATGTTTGTTGTTGATTTATTTCCCCCTGTGAATGGGCCATATTTTTTGTATGCTTTGTAAATTTGTGTTGAGAACTGGAAATTTTGAATATTATAATGTGGTAACTCTGAAAATGAGATCCCATCTCTTCCAGGAATTGGTGATGTTTCTTGTTGAGAAATGAAGTTGTCTGTATAGTGACTTTTTCAAGAGTAGACCATATGATAAGCCATAAAACAATTCTCAATGAATTCTGAAGTCATACAAAGTATTTCCTCTGACTACAACAGAATGATGCTGGAAGTGAATAAAGCAAAAAAATTCACAAACATATGTAAATAAACAACACATTTCTAAACTATCCTTGGGTCAAAGAAGAAATCACCAAGCAAATTAGAGAACCAAATGAATGAGAAAAAAACCACAGCATACCAAAACTTATGGGCTGTAGTGAAAGTACTGCTCAGAAGGAAAGTTAGACTTGTAAGTGCTATATTACAAATGAAGAAAGTTTTTCTACAATAACTTGTTTACTTTATGAACTAGAGAAAGAAGAGCAAACTAATCTCAAAGCCAGCAGAAGGAACACAATAATAAAGATTATAGAGAGACAAATAGAGTTGACAGTAGGAAAACAAATAGGATCCACAATACCAAAAGTGAATTTTTTGAGATCAACAAAATTGAAAAATCTTTATGTAGATAAGAGAACAAGAAAAGAATATGCACAAACTGTAATCAGAATTCAAAGAGGGGACATTACTAGCCACCTGATAGAAATTAAAAGGACTAGAAAAGACTGTTGTAAACAATGTTTGACAACACACTAGATCATTTAGATGAAAGTGACAAGTTCTCAGAAACACACAAATTACCCATACTGACTAAGGAAAGAAAATCTCAGTAGAACCTATAACAACAGGAGATTAGATCAATTAGCAAAAGAAAAGCTCCAGACCAGAAGGCTTTATGGATGAATTCTGTAAAACATTTTTATAAGACATAACAAGAAAATCAGTATGATACATCCTATTAGCAAAATGAAGAGGAAAAACCAATACAGTCCTCCATATAAGCAATGAAATCACTTGGCAAAATTCAACATTCCATCTTCTTTTCAGCATTGTTTAGATAAAAGAAAAAAAACACTCAGTAAACTAGAAATAGAAGGTAATTTCCTTAGCATAGGACATTTATGAAAAACACACAGCTAATAGTATATAATGACAAAAGACTGAAAATTTCCCCAAGGATCAGTAACAGGGGAAGACACATTTACTGCTGCTATTCAGCATTGTACTAGTTCCAACCTGAGAAATTAGGCAAGAAAAACAAACAGCATCCAAATTGGAAGATAGACCTGTATACTGAAAACAACATAATATTGCTTAAATAAATGGAAAGATGTCTTGTGTTCATGGGATGGAATATTTAATGTATTTAAAATGGCAATTTATTTGATGAAATCTCTACCAAAAGTCCAGTGATCTTTTTTTTGTAGAGATGAAAGACCTGACAATCAAATTCATACAGAATTGCAAGAGACCCTCAAATAGCAAAAACAATATTGGAAAAGAAAAAAATTTGGAACACCCATACTTGGCTGTTTCAAAACTTACTACAAATTTCAAAATATGGTAGTATTGCACTGACATGGGATAAACATATGGATCAAAGAAACAGAACTTAGACCCCAGAAATAAATCACTACATTTATGGCCAGTTGGTTTTTGACAAGGGATGAAGAACTATCTCTTCAATAAATGATGCAACCACAACTGCATATCCACATACAAGGGATAAAATTGGTTCTCTACCTCTCCCCATATTCAGAAGTTAACTCAAAATGGGCCAAGCATCTAAATATAAGAGGTAATACCAAACTACTCTTAGAATAAAATAAATAAATATCCATGACCTTGTGTTTGATTATAGTTTCTTTGCTTAGACATCAAGACAAATGCAACAAAAGAAAGATAGCAGGTTTCATTAAATTAAAATCTTTTGTGCATCAAAGGACATTATTAAGTG